GTTAGAAGAGAGCACTTCTGTATGCAGCCTTACACAGAAGGATTTTATCACCAGCAGCCGCCTTAAAAGTAGAGCTGCTCCATCTTTTCCCCTGGAATAATGTTATTTCTCCATCTAAGAGGGAATCTGCCTCTAGAGGGTTCAGAAACCACAGCTTGTTGTGTTTTGGCAAATTATCAAGACCCATTTGTTTTGAAGACTAAATTCCTCATGTATGTAAATCTTGTGTTTGTTCCAGTGTAAATTTGAGATGTTTATTCCCAAATGAAAACACACTTCGGCAGATTTCTGTAGTTAAATATATAGATATATTATATATAATATTTATGAATAAATATATTTATTTATATATATTCATAACTATCATTTATTTAATTAAACATTATATATAATAATGAAACAAGACTTGTAAAATGACACTTTTACTAAATCATTTAAAATAAGCACATTTATGTAGTTTTGCAGAACAACTTACACCTCATTGGCTTCCTTTCAAACAGCAGGCACAGGTCTATTAAGACCAGGACAAATGGATTTATGAAAAGCTTTTATCCAAGTGCAGTTGCCACAATATACTGCCAAATGTAACAGACAATAATGTAACAGACCATACATACACGTGCAAAGCATTGATTCTCTTTTTGTAAAAAATATTTACAATAATACACAAGAGTTGAAAGTATAAAATGCAAAGGAACAAAAAGGGGATTTGTAGATCATTTATTATTTATTTGAGTGCATTGACATAAACACATCCATCTTTACAGATCACTGGTATAGGCTAGGGCAGGAGAAACAGCTGGAGATCTTTACAGATCACTGGTACTGGGCTGGGAGTAGTGTGCAGTCTGAAACCTTTACCTGCAGCCCAACTACAGGAAGAAGCCCCAACTATTTTCAACACCCACTGAGATCTAAAACAGCGAAGTATTTTAGAACAGACATTTAGTTATTGCTTGTTATAACTTAACTATCTTACAAAGTCAGCAGAAAAGAAATAGTTACCACCAAACAAAAATATGCTAGTATAAGCTCTGTTTTACTGGAGTTGTCCATGTGAACGTGTCAGCGACACAACAACTCAAGCTGAACATTTAGCAAGTTGGTTTCAACCTGGAGAGACTACAAGAGACGAGATGCGTTTAAGAGTTGTTTATTTTATGGATTGAGTTTGTTTATTGGTTTGGAGCTTAGGTCCCGGCTGTGGCCGTGCTCTGAAGAGATCTGCGCCTGGGTGCAGATCATGATCCCCCGGGGCCTAGACACTGGTGGTGGCAACAAGGCAAGGTGAATGTGAGAGTGAAGAAATCCTGAGGCAGAGGTGGGGAGGAGGTGGTTGCAGCTTGAAGTCCGTTTGGTGAGCTGTGCTCTGCTGTTTTCTTAAACGCTGGCTTGATTGACACGGCTGCGGGGAGTTGATTAAGACAGGCTGAGTAAGGCGTGGTCAAGCCTGGTGTGATAACGTAGGTAGTCTACCATCCTGAACCTCCGCTTCAGCTGCATTTCAACCTGGAGAGACTACAAGAGACGAGATGCGTTTAAGAGTTGTTTATTTTATGGATTGAGTTTGTTTATTGGTTTGGAGCTTAGGCCCCGGCTGTGGCCGTGCTCTGAAGAGATCTGCGCCTGGGTGCAGATCATGATCCCCAAAAAGAGAGCTTGGCTAGCGATGCGTTTGCCACGACTTGGTTGCTGCGTTTATGGAAGGCGCATGGTGTGAGTGACTGTTTCCGTGCACGAGCTCGGCTCTAGCGCTAGGCGTTGGCACGCGCACGAGCACGAGCTCGGCTCGAGTGCGCGGCATGCTGGAATGAGGAGTTGCCACCACCAGGAGATGCATACGTACTTATATGAGAGGAGGCGCTGGGCTGCCAGAACGGATGAATGTGGTAGAGAACCAGGGACCGAGCTCCTGGAGAGATGATTGAGGGAGTCCCAGGGCAGCAGCCCAAGTGGCTGCTCCTATCCGGAAGGAGTGGCGGATGTAGAGAAAGGAAGAGAGGTTACATGCAGGGAGCGCAGGTTTTGAATTTGTTCAGACCAGGGGGTCGTCAAGGGATTGTTTAAGGAGTAATTATAGTCTATGAATGTTGATAAAATGTCCATACATGTTGTAGAATGTAAAGTATCCTGGATCATCACCACGGGCCTTCTAGTTGGACACTAACTGTCCAGACCCTCCTGCATGGCAAGGAAAACTCACAAAACCCCGTGGGGAAAAAAGTGAGAAACCTTTGGAAGACCCTACATGAGAGAGGGATCCACTCCACGGACAAACAGGCTAGTCGTCCAGGACCTAAACTACAGAACAAGGACCATTGCCAATACTCCTTTAAGGATCTTCTTATGAGGGTGGAGCAGTGTGACTCGAAGTGGATTTTAGAGAATGTATTTAATGCCGATGTAGATGAGGCAGTGACAACAGTACCCGCGATGCTGATGTCCAGAGACTGAGAGTGTGCAGTGAGAGGGAAAGGAGAATGCTGAATGAAAGATGAACTGCTGGTGTTTAGAGCGCTGATATTCGAACATGATTCCACTTGGGGAGACTAGAAGGTGAAAATGAGATTCATGAAGTACACTTACCCAGGAAGATTGATGTTCGATAGGAGATCTCTGGACCCCCAAAAACCAACGCACAAGGGCCCGGTCAGAATGAGGGCCAGGGTGCGTCAGGTAAGGCGAAGCGTGAGACAGGCCCGGCGGCAGGAGCCGCACCAGGAGACCAGGAGAGAATATGCCTGGGGAACATGAGAAGGAGCACCGCCTAAAGCCACTCAGAGTGCACGCAAACCGTGGCGGGCAGTGCTGCACACCAAAATCCAATGAGTGCGGCCTGGGGAAGATAGTCGGCCAGGTTTGAAGGCCACGCCGAACAGTACTCATGCAGTCTTAGCAGGCCAGCGTTGCAGCAGGCCGCCGTCGCGGCGTCGTAGCAGAGCTTTGGTGCGGCGTTGCGGAATCACGTTCCTGCGACGCTGAAAAGAGAAACCTCAAACCACTATCACTCGAGTGAAAAGGACCAACGGGCAGTGTCAGACCACGTCTTCAGTCAGACCACGTCTTCAGTCAGACCACTGACCTGATCCTTTGATGCCGGCTCTTCCCGTCATTGTGAAGCAGAACTCTCCAAGCGTTGGATTGTTCACCCACCAATAGGGAACGCGTGTCCATGGTCGACACTGGTCCCACGATGAATGGATGAGTGCACACGAATGCGTCGAAGCGTGGCGTCGAGAATGCGGCAGGAGGCGGACACCGACGTGGCGTCAAACAGCGGCCACCGGCGTGGAAGCGTGCGCCGACCGACGTGCTGCGATGAAGCGTGCGGCCGCCGACGAGCTGCGATGAAGTGTGCGGCCGTCGACGAGCTGCGATGAAGCGTGCGGCCGCCGACGAGCTGCGATGAAGCGTGCGGCCGCCGACGAGCTGCGATGAAGCGTGCGCCGGCGTCAAAGCGTGCGGCGTGCGCCGTCGTTGAGGCGTGCGGCGTCGTTGGGGCGTGCGGCGTCGTTGGGGCGTGCGGCGTCGTTGGGGCGTGCGGCGTCGTTGAGGCGTGCGGCGTCATTGAGGCGTGCGGCGTCAAAGCGTGCGGCGTCAAAGCGTGCGGCGTCAAAGCGTGCGGCGTCAAAGCGTGCGGCGTCAAAGCGTGCGGCGTCAAAGCGTGCGGCGTGGAGGAGGAGTCGAAGCGTGGAGGAGGAGTCGAAGCGTGGAGGAGGAGTCGAAGCGTGGAGGAGGAGTCGAAGCGTGGAGGAGGAGTCGAAGCGTGCGGCCACCGTCGTGGCGTCGAAGCGTGCGGCCACCAACGTGGCGTCGTCGAAGCGTGCGGCCACCGACGTGGCGTCGTCGAAGCGTGGGGCCACCCACGTGGCGTTGTCGAAGCGTGGGGCCACCCACGTGGCGTCGTCAAAGCGTGGCGTCGTCGAAGCGTGGCGTCGTTGAAGCGTGAAGTGTGGCGTTGAAGTGTGGCGTTGAAGTGTGGCGTTGAAGTGTGGCGTTGAAGTGTGGCGTTGAAGTGTGGCGTTGAAGTGTGGCGTAAGGCCAAAGCAATGGGCAAACGAACAGCACAGAGGGGCGTGAGAGAGGAGTTGAAGCGTGGAGGAGGAGTCGAAGCGTGCGGCCACCGTCGTGGCGTCGTCGAAGCGTGCGGCCACCGACGTGGCGTCGTCGAAGCGTGCGGCCACCCACGTGGCGTCGTTGAAGCGTGCGGCCACCGACGTGGCGTCGTCGAAGCGTGGGGCCACCCACGTGGCGTCGTTGAAGCGTGGGGCCACCCACGTGGCGTCGTCGAAGCGTGGGGCCACCCACGTGGCGTCGTCGAAGCGTGGGGCCACCGACGTGGCGTCGTCAAAGCGTGGGGCCACCGACGTGGCGTCGTTGAAGCGTGGCGTCGTCGAAGCGTGGCGTCGTCGAAGCGTGGCGTTGCCGAAGCGTGACGTCGTCGAAGCGTGATGTGTGGCGTTGAAGTGTGGCGTTGAAGTGTGGCGTAAGGCCAAAGCAATGGGCAAACGAACAGCACAGAGGGGCTCGGCCGCGCTCCGACCAATCAGAGCAGCCCATCAGACACGGACAGCCGGGAGGCAATGCAGTGGGCAAAACTTACAGTCCACGGTCAATTAGACAGAGCGAAGGCCAATGCAGACGACAAATGTTATAGTCCATGGTTACAACTGACAGCCTGAATGTCATTGCAGTGGGTAAAATGTTCAGTCCATAGTAAAACGGACAGCCTGGAGGTCACTGCAGTGTTGAAAGTTCAGCCCATGAGTAAAACGGACAGCCAGAAGGCCAACACAGTGGTTAAAATTTGCGGTCCATGGTGAAAACGGACGGTCTAAATGCCAGTGCAGATGGTAAAACGAACAGCCTGAAGAGCAATGCATCGGGTAAAAACACAGCCTGCGAGCCAATTCGGCGGGAATAACTGACACGCCGCAGTTCAGTACAGTTCATGGTAGTGCGGAAAACAACGAAACCGACACTGTACCGTGAGTGGAGGCATGGAGAAGGGTGGACAGCGGCAGGCAGACAACGGCAGGCAGACAGAAGTCCCGTTCCCGGTATGGAAGCGGCAGGGTGCGTGGAGTAACGCCTGGCCGCGAGCAGCAGTGGCCACGGGGAGACGAGCGGCAGCGAGTCCGCAGGAGAGGACCCGCGGTGAGCCGCGGTGGAGACACAGCGACCATGGCACACAGCCCCCAACATGTGATGTGGAAGAGGAGCCGCGACCATGCAGGACCAACAATGTGCGAGGCGTGAGTAAACAAAGTGACGAAGAGCAACCCGTTGCAGCTTGAAGTCCGTTTGGTGAGCTGTGCTCTGCTGTTCTCTTAAACGCTGGCTTGATTGACACGGCTGCGGGGAGTTGATTAAGACAGGCTGAGTAAGGCGTGGTCAAGCCTGGTGTGATAACGTAGGTAGTCTACCATCCTGAACCTCCGTTTCAGCTGCATTTTCACAAATAGACAAACACATCATGTTCTAATATAATATGAAAGTCTATAACATGTCTCTATTACATATTTTGAATAACTTAGCACACAATTTAGGCCTTTATTACATGTGTTTGGGCTTCATGCGTCGTAGCTAACGCTAACTTAGCTGTTAGTTGCTAAGTTCTGTATTACCTTGATACTTGTGTATTCTTCATCACAGAACCCCTTCCCTCGTTTATCTGTCCACAAATTCACCCCTGCGATTGCTTCAGCAGCCGTGAATGAAAAAGCTGGGAAACTGACTAATGTTGGCAAAATATTAGAGCCTTTTCTCCATAGTACCGACGCAAACAGGAAGTGCTACCGCCCTACGAGGCGCAACTTCCGGTTCTCGTGAAAAAGGTCTATTGGGACGGGGCCCAAGCCTGGAAGTCGCACGGTAGTCTAGTACAATCGGTCCGACTGAAACTCATCCAGTGAGAAACGTAACGTTCCGCGGTGCAAAAAGGGACATGCCGATTAAAATGCATCAATTTTTTTAACGCGCTAATTCTTGTGTAATTCATTCATCTTAATTAACCCGTTAAAGTCCCGGCCCTAATATATATATTTATATATTAAAAAATCGTCCAATAACACGTTCTCCCCGATCCCCCCGAAGGGTAGAGAATGACATGACATTCAGTGTATATATCTATATACATACATACATATATAACACTCACCTTTGGTTATCCCTCTCTAAGCTCGGGTCCTCTACCACAGTGGTTCCCAAAGTGGGGGTCCCGACCCCCCGGGGGGTCGCGGGAACCCCTGGGGGGGTCGCAAGATGATTTCCAAACAACAACAAAAAAAATGAAAAAAAAAAAAAACATTTAGCAAATTAATAGCCCTTAAATATTTATTTTGCATTTGATTTGATTCAAAAGGGTTACTTGTTAAATTGTGTTAGGAGAAAATAATATATTTTAATTACGTTAATTACGTTGTCCCAGTCATTGACAGCGTCAATCAAAATTAAGTTACGCAGCTCACATCATGCAGCGACAAAGCGTGTCCTGCTGCTGTTTGCTAAAACTAAAGGTGTTTGGAGGCTACAAACACATAATACCTGCTTTAAAATGAAACGTGGTTAATATCCACAACAGAAAAACCTGGAGGGGGAGAACAGTCAAGGGTCAGGCTGATGGTGCGAAGAGAGGGAGAGAGGGCAGTGGAGGGAGAGAAGGCAGGGGTAGAACAGCGCGGTAAAGAGGCCCGGCTTTTCGGAGTCAGTGGTAAAGAGGTCCGCACATTAAAAGCGGGTGGCCGGTTTATGCTGTAACTTTGGCTTATTACAGTAACTTTGGAAAAATAAGCCGCGGGGGAGGAACCGCATGAAGTAACAGCAGAAAGCGGCCGCCCGCTTTTAATGTGCGGACCTCTTTACCGCTGGGTTAGGGTTAGGGCCACTTTACCGCGGTACAAGAACAGAGAGGGCGAGCCGCAAGAAATGCGCTCCACTTCTGCTGAGGAGGGAGCCTACTAAGCCCATCACTGTGTCACTACGTGAGTAAAAATACGCAAGCCTCCTTTTTTGGGCTGGACAGTGCAGCTCAGTAGTGGCGCGAGTCTCTGCGAGTCATTGACGGGAAGGACTGTTGAGGTGGGGGGTCGCGGGGGAGCAGCGCATTTATGATGGGGGTCGCGGGCTAAAAACTTTGGGAACCCCTGCTCTACCAGAGGCCTGGGAGCTTGAGGGTTCTGCGCAGTATCTTTGCTGTTCCTAGCACTGCACATTTCTGGACCGAGATGTCCGAGGTTGTTCCGGGGATCCGCTGTAACCACTCTTCTAGCTTCGGGGTCACTGCCCCGAGTGCACCGATCACCACGGGCACTACTGTCACCTTTACCCTCCAGGCCCTCTCCAGCTCCTCTCTGAGACCTTGGTATTTCTCAAGTTTTTCTTGTTGTTTTTTCCTGATGTTACCATCGCTTGGGATTGCCGCGTCCACCACCACGGCTGTCCTCTGCCCTTTGTCCACCACCACGATGTCAGGTTGGTTCATTACCATTCGATCGGTCTGTATCTGGAAGTCCCACAGGATCTTCGCACGCTCATTCTCCACCACCTTTGGAGGAGTTTCCCACTTAGACCTTGGAGTTTCCAGCCCATACTCTGCACAGATGTTTCTGTACACTATGCCAGCCACTTGGTTATGGCGTTCCATGTAGGCCTTCCCTGCCAGCATCTTGCACCCTGCAGTTATGTGTTGGATCGTCTCAGGTGCCTCTTTGCACAACCGACACCTTGGGTCTTGTCTGGTGTGGTATATCTGGGCTTCTATCGCTCTGGTGCTCAGTGCCTGTTCCTGTGCAGCCATGATGAGTGCCTCTGTGCTGTCCTGTAGGCCAGCCCTTTCTAGCCATTGGTAGGACTTCTTGAGATCAGCCACTTCTGTTATGCTCCGGTGGTACATGCCGTGTAGGGGCTTGTTCTCCCATGATGGGCTCTCCTCCAGCACCTCCTCATCTTGCCACTGCCTGAGACATTCACTGAGTACGTCATCCGTTTTGGCCTTCTCCATGATCTAGTTATGGAGTTTGGATGTTTCGTCCTGGACAGTAGCTCTCACACTCACTATTTGGGATGGAACCCGCCATGCAGGGTGAGGAGCTTTCGAGTTTCAACATCCGTGGTCTGAATCTCTTCCTTTGGTCACCTGATTATTCCTGCAGGGTATCTGATCACTGGCAGGGCGTAGCTGTTAATTGCCCGGGCCTTGTTCTTGTCATTAAGCCGGCTTCTTAGGACCTGCCTTACTCGCTGGAGGTATTTGGCAGTTGCCGCTTTCCTCGTCGCCTGTTCGAGGTTGCCATTTGCCTGTGGTATACCGAGATACTTGTCCTCAACGTCTGCTATTGTTCCCTCTGGGAGTGAGATCCCTTCTGTGTGGACTACCTTGCCTCTCCGAGTCACCATCCTGCTACATTTCTCGAGTCTGAATGACATCCCGATGTCATGGCTGTAGATCCTGGTGGTTTGGATCAGAGAGTCGATGTCTCTGTCGCTCTTGGCGTACAGCTTGATGTCATCCATGTAGAGGAGGTGACTGATCTTTGCTCCATTCCATGGCTTAAGCCTAGTGTATACTTGCGAGGCGTGGCTTACGTTAGCGGTTGCGGTGGACCTACGTAAGCACAATTGATGTATACTGGCGCGTTCCCCTTACGGAGTTTTGAGGAGAATGTTGTAATCCCACAACAAACCACATGAGGGCGATCACACAGGAGCGGTCCCATTTACGCTGCTACTTTGTCCTCTTCAGAACAACAATAGCAAACAAAGCTGTTTGAGCTCATTACACGTGTTTCTACTGTAGGTTTATGTGATAGTTTTATGGATTCATTATTTTATAAGTCATTTCAACTGTGATGCTGTGAATAAAGACAGTTCTTGTTGGAAACATAGTTATTATTAAATAGTTTTCAGCACAAACAGCAAAACAATAATAGTGGTAAATATCTGAGACAAACATGAACGATTTACGAGTGCAGGAGGAAAGCAACAAACGCAGCTACGATTCAAACAAAGACAGGAACAGTGCAAAACAAACGACTGCACAGTTTATAAGTAATATATAAGTTAGATATAAGTTATATATATGTTAGATAGTCCACAGTCTCCTGTATCAAGCTCTGAGCCCAAACTGCTTTTCCTTCGAAGCACAAAGCTCTCTGCTCCATAGTGCCTCATCCATGTCCCTGCTGCAGCCGCTTCATGCTTCCTTCCAATACACACACACGGACCAATCACAGCGGAGATTCCTTGCGGCGACCCTTACGTAGTTAGAAAATTTTGATGCTGCTCGGCAGGCGACGTAAGGGCCTTGCGGTGACCAACCAAGCCCCGGCGATCCAAGATGGCGCCCTATTCAAATGAATGGTTGTGCTCAGTGGCGCTTTGTGACGGCATGGGGGCTGAAAGATTAGCGGAAGTTGCCTGAAACTCGCAAAGATCTATGGGAAACTCGCCTGTATTTGGGCATCGTCTGGTCCTCCCGGTTCTGCGCAGTGGATGATCTCCCATAATGCGTTGCGTCAAACACGCGTGTGTGGGTCTCACACCGGGTCTCACGCACGTGCACAGAGGGGCTCGGCCGCGCTCTGACCAATCAGAGCAGTTCATCAGAGCGGGAGTTAGAGCGAGAGCCAGACGAGCAGAGTTTGTGGCACTAAAGTGTGGATTTAAACAAAACCGAAGGATTTAAGAAGAAAAAAAGTTCAGGATGACAAGGGACACTAAAATCCCCACAAAATCCGACCTTTATGAAAGCTGTAGGTTCTCTGTCAGCTGAGGTTGAGCTGTTTTAATTTGCATTGAGTTCTATGGGGAAAATTTCTGGGTAGCCCACGTGAATTTAGTCTGGTTCAGTCTGCAGTACCGCGAGAATCCCTGAGCACATGAGTTATTCAGCTACAAGCTAGTAATACCCTATCCAGTTAATATAATAGATCCATGTGACCAACGCGTTGCGCAAGTGACGTCACGTCACCTCCGTAAGCTCCGCGCAAGTATAAACTAGGCTTTAGAGCAGGGGTGGCCAACCCGCGGCTCGTGAGCCGCATGCAGCACTTTGGCTGGT